TGACGGCGGTTTTATGGATGGAAACAGGGTGGGCCGGCAGGCTGGGCCTCAGCAAGCAGCTGGGGCCATGGCACGGTCAGGGCCTTGGGATCCCAACGTCATTGCGACACTAATCGCCAGCTGGGCTTGGACGGGCAGATGGACACTCCATGATGCGCTGGAGGAGCTCGGGGACAGCGCTTGGGCCACCCTGACCTACAGTGCAAGTTTTGGCCTCTTTCTCAGGAGAAAAACTGAACGTCTCTGCAGCCCCTCCACGCTCTCAGCCCTCCCTGAACTGCTGCGGCGATGCCATGGGGGAGCTGGGTGGCAGCAGAGGCGCACACTCTGGATGGCCACAAACTCCCCCCACCCACACAGAAGAACACTATGCAGCCACAAAGGTACGGCGACGGATCCCTGCATGCTGGCAGGGAAATCAGCCTATCGATTGTTGAGTGGAAAAATCAAGTTGTATGTAATAGCATGATCTTAGTTTTAAAATTAATATTCATTCACGTGTCTATACTGCTATCCATTTGATTTATACAACTGTTAACAATGGATACTAACAGGGATTTAGAGGAGATAGTGGCTTCCATTTTGTGTGCTTCTTTATCATTTGATTTTGTAATAAATGTGCATTACTTGCCTTATTTTTAAATAAGGTTTTACTTTAGTTTCCCTGAAAACAGACAGCAAACCCATGCAATAAGCAGCTTGGGAAAATTCACATTTGGCTCAAATTTTAATGAGCATCTACTCTGGATAAAAGAGAGGGTTCCTGCCCTAGATAGATGAGCTGACATTCGTGTATGTAGTTCACTAAAGAAGGGGCAGCCTGAGGCAAGAGCTGGAATAGACGCCTCATGGTCAGTGCTGTCGTTTGTGAAGGGCCTACTATGTGCAGGTAACTTACAACCCTTCCCGCATTGAATTCTTAGGGTTGACCCCTTCAGTCAACAAATACTTGGACACCTACAGTATGTCATTAAAAACGTGGGGTATTTTTTTTCCCTCTGCCTCCTCAGGCAAAGGTATCAAAAATGAAAATAAATGGGACAAAATCAAAGTAAACAGTTTTTGCAGAGCAAAGGAAGCCATCAACAGAATGAAAAGGCAACCTGCTGACCGGGAGAGGATACTTCAAATGATATAATTGATAAGGGGTTGATGTCCAAAATATATAAGGAACTCACAGAATTCAATGTCAAAAAATCAAACAGTCCAATTAAAAAACAGGAGGCCCTGAAGAAATATTTCTCTGAAGACATTCAAGACGGGCAACAGACATATGACAAGATGCTCCACATCACTAATCATCAGGGAAATGCAAATCAAAACCACAATGAGCTATCACCTCACATCTGTTAGAATGGCTATTATCAAAAAGACAAGAAATAAAAAGTATTGGAGAGGATGTGGAGAAAAGAGAATCCACTGTTGTTGGGAATGCAAAATGTCAGTCACTACTGAAAACAGTATGGAGGTTCCTCAAAAAATTAAAAAGAGAACTACCATATGATCAGCAATCCACTGCTGGGTATTTACCTGGAGAAAAGAGAAACACTAATCCAAAAAGATACACGTGCCCCTAAGATCGCTGCAGTATTATTTACAACAGCCGAAATACGGAGGTAAACTAAATATCCATCTGTGGATGAAGGGATAAAGAAGATGTACACATACACACACAAAATGGAATCTTTTTCAGCCATTAAAAAAATGGAACTTTGCCATTTGCAATAACATGGATGGATCTGGAGGGTATTATACAAAGTTGAATAAATCAGAGAGAGAACAACAGTCACTGTATGATTCCACTTATATGTGAAATCTAAAGAACAAAAGGTACAAAAAAAAGCAACACAGAAATAGACTCATTGTACAGAGAACAATCTGGTTACTGTGAGTAGGCGGATAGGCAAACTATGTCTCCTACGAGAAGCCATTAAAAGGTACAAGCTTCCAGTTATAAACTAAGTAAAACAATAGGGATATAAGGTACAGCACAGGGAATATAGTTAATAATAACAACTGTGTATGGTAACAGATGGTAGCCAGATTTATCATGGTGATCACTTTGTAATGTATATAAATGTTGAATCATTATTCACCAATTGCACTCCAATTGAAAAAAAGATTCACTGTCCTAGTACAGAAGAGGTGCACAGAGTATTAGGTGCATAATGACAATAAAGAAATGTCAGCTGTCACTCTTGTTCTGTGGTGTCTGTGTCCAGGATGGAGTGGGATGAGACGGGAGGCAGGCTATGGCAATTGTCCAAGTGAGAGATGCAGGCGGACTAAGGCTCTTAGGATGGAGAGAACCAAAGTACGTAAACATGAGGAGGAAGGGTGGACAGGAATAGGTGAAATGATTAGCCAAGAGGGAGACAAAGGGAGGAGCCCAAGATGACGTGGGTTCCTGGCAGGGGTGACCAAGAGGATGGGGCAGTAAGCAGAGCAGTGAGCAGGGTAGGGAGGGCACCAGGTGTGGACCGGAGCCATGTGTTTCAGGTGACAGAGAAACCCACATATCAATGTCCATGGGTACAAAAACATGAGCCCCTCCGTTTTACACTCAGCATCCCTGGATCATGAATTCTGTGGTCTCAGGATGTAGCTGAGATAAACAGGAGCAGGACCCCAGCCTGAGAGCAGGTCCCTTCTCCTCCATGGGGCGCCCCAAGGTGTACCCATGTTAATAAACAGTCAAGCCGCTCTGAATTAAGTCTGTATCTTACACCCAGAGGCTTTGATCCAGTGCAGTTCAGGCCTTCTGCTGGAAATACCACGTTTCCAAAAAGAGCTTTAGAAATGTCTTTTTCAACTAGCCATTTGCCTACCAATTCCTTTTAAACTGTTAAAAACAAAAACAAACAAACACACCATTAAAAGTAAGAGCGAAAGAAAATCAAAGACCACAGCACAGTGCACAGAAGGAAGGACAGGCATGTAGCACCACGCCCGCACCACACTTCCCATGCAGAGGGTGATGCCACTTGGCCATACCTACTGTGGAGCTGTTAAGGTGAAGCTTGGGATGTTCCAAATACTCCAATACAGTGAATATTCCAAAGCCCACTCAATCAGTCTTGGATTCCGCCTCCCTCAAACACTCAGAGGGGCGAAAACAACCAGGACATAAAGTTTCGTGTTATTGGTTTCCAACAATAGGACTATGAGTCACATTACTTTACTCCAAATCACCCGACCACACACAATCTGAGCCCTATATTCTCTGTATTAATGGAGGAACTTGGGAACGGTCACCCTCTGACAGAAATCCTCCCCAGATGGGGAAGGCCACCTTCGGGGCTCCATGCACAGGGGAGAGCTTTGAGGGCAACAGACAGGCCGAGTCAGGCTCACCTGGACAAAGGATGGACCATCCTCCCACCAGGAGCAGGGCAGGTAAAGGAAGCACGTGGGAGACACATGGTCGCGCTTGATGAAAGGGCAGCAGTAACAATGAGCCAGCAACACTCTTTGATGACAGAAAGCTCCTTTAGGTTATTTCATGGGACTTTTCATTTTTTAAGAAAGGAATTTCAGAGCTCCCGAGTCATTCCTCACTTGGGACCTAACTCCTGATTATTTGAAAGGCACTGATCTGGTCCCTTGTAGTTCATAGGCCCTGGCGCAGGGCCTCAGGCCAGAGGCCAGCACTCCGTCAGGGCACAACATGCTTCCCCCTGGAAACAAGTACACAGCGCTGCCGGGGAGTATGTGTCTCCTGGGGCGTACAGGGGCCTAGAGAAAGGCCAGAGCGCCTGGCTAGAGGGGCAAGCACTGCGTTAGGGCAGGCAGATGGCAGAGGTGGTACCAGCTGGGCAGGGTCCTCACCTGAGCCCCAAAGGCCAGGGTGGTCCTCCAGCTGTCTTCCCGGAGGGGTCCTGAGAGGTGCGGGCTGGGGACCTGCAGTTTGTCTTTACGCTGCACGAGTTACATCCGCATGCAAGCAGAGATCTGGGGGCCCTGCAAGAGTTCCTTGGGGTAAAAGGCAAACCGGGTAAGAACCTAGCAGGTAGGAGCTGGACCTCTCCTGCCACCCCACACTGACCCACCTTTCACTGCAAGGGCCCAGGCTCCTTGCCAGGTGGACCTGGGTTCAAGTACCTACTCTGCCACCTTTTGCCTGTTACTTGCCCCAGGTTGTTTGAGCCCCCGTTTCCTTGTCTTTTAAGTGGGGGTGAAAAGATTGCTGTGAGGAACGAAGGAGGTAAGGCACATAAATCACACCAGCATCACTGGGGGACTAGAGGTGGTCGCTGCCCTCCCTGAGCTCACATCTAGGAAACTCTTTTCATGGGAGGGCAGCGGTGCACGAGAGCGGCTTCTGCTCAGAGGCACGAGTCCAGAATACACAGAAGGCACCTCCTCCACCCCCAGGGTCCCCAGGTCCCCTGTCCCCTGGGGAGAGACCATCGCATGGGGACTCTCACAGACTTATTCTGCCATCCTGCCTCAGTCAGAGGCTCCCCCCGAATGTCACCAGTTTACCATGTGACTCCTTTCTAGCAAAGCCCCCCCCTTTCCTGTGACCCCCAAGACACTAACAAGGGAGCTACATCTTCATACCATCGTGGGGCACAGACACGTCTGACTCCAGCCCAAACACAGGGGCCAGGCTGTTTGGCTTAGCCGGTGGTAGTGGTCACTGGTAGGCTCTGAAGCCAGGAACCCCAAGAGAGGATGCCTGGATGTAATCAAAGCAACACTTCTCCCGGGGCGCAGCCTCCCTCCATTTCCTCTTTCCTTATTTGTCTGGAGGAGCCGGGAGTGGGCGGACAGCAAGCCCCATGGCGTGTGTGACTCATTTCCTTCTCAGAATCAAGAGCTTGTGCTGGTGTAAGCATGAGGCCCCCAAGTGGGGGTGGGGGGGCCCTCCGGAAGCCAAGACAGCAAGCGGGGAAGCCCCCCAGCAGTACAATGAAGTGACACTCAACACACATTCACTGAGCACCCAGTATTACAGGTTCTCTGGGAAAGAAAAGCGCAGGCGTGAGGGAAGAAGAGCCATTTTATCCATTTATTATATACAATATTAAGGCACAAGTTTAAGCAGCAAAGGAAATAGGAAAATCTTTGGCTGACCATTAGTATCAATATTTGCCATGGGGATCACGCTGTTCTTGGACTCTCCCTCACTCTGTTCACAGACCCACCCGGCTGTGCAGCTCTGCACACCCCACTTCAACACAGGCCAGAAGGACCAAGATGCCCGAACGTTGCAGCAGAGTCAGTCCACTGGCGAGAACACAGCACAACTGGCACCGGGCACAGGGACGACCACCCGGCAGGCGGCCAGCGCGGTGGCACAGGGCTGGCCGAGGCCTGTGCATGCACCTGCCTCTTTCACAGACTCTGAAAGTGCCTCATGGAGTGAGACCCTCCACAAAAGGGGAAAACACCTTAATTCAAAGAAAACCACTGTGGCTAAATCTGCTTACGTTCTGTTTTGTAATAAATACTTACAGGTGTCTGTGTGTGAACAGAATGCTAGGCAAAACTGCTGCATCAAAACCTGCGGAGCTGATACAAGAGAATGCTGTGCGTGTGCTTCATTATGTTGAGGACAATATTTTAATTCTGTGAAGCAAAGTTCCATGACAAATGCCTCAGTCATAGCATAACATGACAGTAACATGCACTGAAGTATAATGGGGTTTTACAGAATAGCTACTGGAGGTTTTCACTAATGAATACGCACTTACAGCTGGGGATGTGCAGAGCTGTGAACACAGACAAGGCATGGCAAGAGAGAAGATCTTTAAAAATGAATCCACTAGACGTTGCATGTCCATGACTACTGCCCTCCTTAGAAGCGGCCACCCGGAGAGGCTCTTGGAGTCCAAAGCCTCATTCCAAGGAACATCTAGAGATTTTTTTTTAAAGCTAAAATGGTGTGACCTTAATAACCTATCTTTATTTATCCAACTGAGTAAATGACTTGGGATTATTTCCAAACTTAAATCCATCCTCAAAGGATGGAGATTTCTCATCTCTCAGGCTAATCTAAGGAACATGGCAGAGGCCCCGAAGGCCATTTGAATAGAGGCATTTACAAAACGTGTCCTCTTGGGCAGCATGGAGCGACCTGTGCAGAGTCTCCCAAAGAGTCACCTTTGAAGGAAGGTGGGGTGAGATGAAGCACTTCCATCTTCTGGATACTAAGAAAAGGAATTCAACACACAGTCTTGGAGTCAGACCTCATCTATATGCACTGACATATACACGTCTTTATATACCATTAAATTACTAAATGAGAATAGGGCACACACTACTACCTAAAAGGAGAAAGAAAAAAACTGCTCATTAGTTCCAGAAGAAATCCATTTCCTGAAATGCTGACCTTTACAGACTCCCAGAAGATCAGCTTCTGGAAACTTCTTAATTACCTCTCTCCCGTGGAGCCACACATCAGAGGCAAACCCAGTGAACATTCCTCACATTGAATGAAGACACTTCAAACACACTGATGAATTATCAAGAAAAAAAGAAGAAAACTAACATTTATAACTGCTGCTGGCCTGGGGACGTGAAGAACCTAATCATGGGCTGGATCCTCTGGCTACTTGACGCCTATCTCTGTGGAACATTCGTGGGCTCCCACTTACTGTGGCCGCGGTTCTCCTCTGCTTGGGGGTGGCAAGGTCATTCGAGCTCCCCCGGCTCCGGGGCAGACATAGAGTAGGACTGTGGAAAACAGAGCTCTTTGCTCAGCAGGGGTCCCAGCAGTCAGCGTGAGCTGTCTGCCTCCAAACCTTTGAGCCCCCAACCTACCCTTCACTGCCTCCCAGGAGCCAGCCTCCTCCCTGACCTCTGTGCTCACATCAGTCTCGGGGACTCAGAAGGCTGCTGAGTGGGGACCGTCTCTCATCCCATTGGCACTCAGCATCAGGAGGGTACAGGTGGCTGAAGGTGGCTGAAGTCCCGGAGAACACCAGGACTGACGATGCTGGCTCTGCAGGGGCATCCCCACAGCCCCTCCCCTGAGCAACACGGTCACTGCGTTCTCTGTTCCCAGCTCAGAGTTCATTTGGGGCAGCTGTCTCAATATACAAACCGAGCCCCACGTAGTCAAGTTCACACACGGGCCCCAGAGAGCAAGCCCTGCAAGACTGAGGACAGAAGGGTCCTACCACTCTGCCTTCCACCCAAAGCCCTGGACGGGAGGGGCAGCCCTGCCTGGCTCGCCTGCTACTAACAAGCCTTGGCCTGGGGACGTGAAGAACCTAATCATGGGCTGGATCCTCTGGCTACTTGACGCCTATCTCTGTGGAACATTCGTGGGCTCCCACTTACTGTGGCCGCGGTTCTCCTCTGCTTGGGGGTGGCAAGGTCATTCGAGCTCCCCCGGCTCCGGGGCAGACATAGAGTAGGACTGTGGAAAACAGAGCTCTTTGCTCAGCAGGGGTCCCAGCAGTCAGCGTGAGCTGTCTGCCTCCAAACCTTTGAGCCCCCAACCTACCCTTCACTGCCTCCCAGGAGCCAGCCTCCTCCCTGACCTCTGTGCTCACATCAGTCTCGGGGACTCAGAAGGCTGCTGAGTGGGGACCGTCTCTCATCCCATTGGCACTCAGCATCAGGAGGGTACAGGTGGCTGAAGGTGGCTGAAGTCCCGGAGAACACCAGGACTGACGATGCTGGCTCTGCAGGGGCATCCCCACAGCCCCTCCCCTGAGCAACACGGTCACTGCGTTCTCTGTTCCCAGCTCAGAGTTCATTTGGGGCAGCTGTCTCAATATCCAAACCGAGCCCCACATAGTCAAGTTCACACACGGGCCCCAGAGAGCAAGCCCTGCAAGACTGAGGACAGAAGGGTCCTACCACTCTGCCTTCCACCCAAAGCCCTGGACGGGAGGGGCAGCCCTGCCTGGCTCGCCTGCTACTAACAAGCTGAACTCAACACCCTCATTGGCTACTAGCCTCTGGGAAGGAGAAGAGAAGCTGAGAGAAGAAAGTGCTAAGAAAAGGTCCCACATGCTCTGAAATTAGTTGCCAGAAATCCAGTGGCATCTCTACTCCACATGGTACCCTGGGCAGCAAGCAGAAATGGCCAGGATACCTTTAGGGGGAAGCAGCACCCCCACACAAAGCCACACAGCTTACCCTTCACTTGACCGCCAGGGCCATAAGCAGGCACCACGGGGAAGCTGTGAGGAGGTCCAGGGCTCTTGACAACATACAAGCAAGCGTTCTTTAAATGGATTTTGTAGCCCTGCTTATAGCGGCACGTGAAGACGTCCATCTATACCTCATGTCTGTAGTCGACTCTAGGGCTTCAGGGCTGAAGCCCAGGCACTCAGTATTTGCAGTTGCTTTCCCTGCAGCAAGCAAGGCTTCAAGAGAGCTATGAAGGTGAAAAGTGGCAGGTGCCCTGGCTTGGCAGGAAATCTCCCATGAAAAGATGTATTATAAAGCCACAGATCCCAGAAAAGCCTTAGCAGGTTAGAGAAGACAGACCACAGCACAGCCGAAAAATGGCAGCGTCAGTGTTTGCACCTGGCAACTCAGGGGAAGCACAAAGGGCAGGAGGCCTGGTTCCTGAGTGCCTATGCAGTGTGCTGGGGCATAAAGGGGATCTGGGAGGGTGCGTGGGGGGGACCTGAGCACCCACGCAGTGTGTTGGGGCATAAAAGGGGTCTGGGAGGGTGCCTGGGGGGGACCTGAGCACCCACACAGTGTGCTGGCTTATAAAGGGGCGGCTGGAGGGAAACTGGGCTGTGGCCCTTGCTGTTACCCATGCCTAGGGGGGCTGGCAAATATGACTTGCCCTTTTCCCTCTAGACACTGTTTTTCCTTCCTGGTTCGCCACCACCATTAATCAGGGGTCAAAATGTCCCTGAGAATTAGTTGCCATCAGCTGAACTTCATCACCCCTAAAAAGTGAAGGGAACAGATGTGGCTCAGGATCCCTCCGCCTGTCCCCCACCCTTTCCCCAATGACCCTGCGTGCTCTCCCCTCACCCCAGGGCATGAGGTGGGCTGCTCACCCCTCAGAATGGCTCCAGTTTCCCAGGCTGCAGGTTCTCTCTTTGAAGCTCAGCAGGCACCACAGGAGGCAGTGAGCATCAAGCCCAAAGCTGACTGCCCACCACAGAGCAGAGCCTGGGAGGAGTCAGGCCTGCGTCTCTGTCACACTGGAGGCTCAGAGCCCCCAGGCCAAGGCCATTGCCCCCCTCCCACCCACGCCCCTGCTCCACCGGTGATCCTCCCCCACCGCAGTCTGGGGAGGCTCTAACTCCACCCAGGTGATCCTCCAAACACCAACCCTAAAATAAACTACCTAAGCAAGCCTTCCGAGTGGTGGTGTGATCAGGGCTTCATCGAGGTGGGGCTTGAAAAGACTCAGACCCAGGGCTTTTTCCCTTCCCTTAGCATGAGGAAAGGGACCCGAGACAGCAAGGACCCGGCTGCCCCGGAGGGAGAACATTTCAGGCCCTGCAAGAGCATCTGACAGCCTGATCAGCTTCTCCTCTCTTCTGATCCAGCACCTCCTAGGCTTGGAAAGAAAGCTAATGTCGGAGGAGCCAGATGTGAAGCATCGCATTCAGGGACAGGAGGCCCCAACCTCACTCACTCCTGCCTCTTAAACATGGCATTTGTCTTCTTTTGGACAACCTGTCCCAAACTAAAACTTCAAAACACCCGACCACACTGTGAGTATACTGGCCTGATAGGTTATAAAGCAAGTTGACGTCAGGGAAAAACGGATGTGCTGACACATGTGCCTGTCAAGAGCCACCTGAGGAGTGCGAGAGGGAGCGGGGACAGTGGTGAACGTGCTCGTGAGCCACGGACACTTGACAGCAGTGCCAGGAGCCCGGACGCCACCAAGCCATTCGCTGGCAGAGTGCGGCCCTCACAGTACTCTCCCAAAAGAGTGATGCGGTGGACATGCCAAGGCTGTGCCGGGGAGCTGACGGGAGCAAGGAGGCAGCCACGGCCACGGCCTTGATGCAGATGTCACAGTGGCCATGGGATCCTCCACCTCATCACAGCTCACCCAGTTCACAGCCAGGGCGAGAGTAACAGCTGCCGCCCAACTGCTCAAAGGCGGAGGAAGCAGCCGCGAAGCCAGCACATGGCGTTGTCTCACTGCTCACTGTTAAACACAGCGAGAATAGCGACAGTTCGGATACTGCCCTAATCCATTCCAGATCTAAGGAATTCTGTCTTATTAAAAAGGAGGAAAATTTTACAGAAAAGTAAAATTAAAGAGAAGGAGGCAGAGACAGATGGAGTCAGAGAAGCTAAGGAGGATGAGCATCAAGATCACAGTATCTCCATCCTGTTTAGAAAATACTGTGAATCCAGAAAAGCCAAGAACCCACATAATCTGCAAATACAAACCAAGCAAGCAGGTAAGTAGGTGAGGATGGCCTTAAATTGCCCATCACTCCTGCACACTTTTCACTGCAACAGGTACACATGTTCCCAGGACACCCCGTGGGCGGCACAGGTGCTGTTATGTTATGCCAAGATAGTGTCTCCAAGATTGCTGGGAGATTCTTCTTAAACAAGGAAGACCCATGTTCAGGCTTATCTGTTTATAACCAGAGAATGCAATGTACACAGACCCTCCCCAAGAGATGTATTTTCTCTACAATGAAAAACTCCATTTCCTATTTCTTCTCTGCATCTTCTCCCTCCTACCATATGAGCTAAAAATCCATAGCATTCTCTTCACCTTTAGTCACGCAGGTCTCCTGATGTATTTTTTGGCATTTATAAAAAGTGTTCTCACAAATCTGAAATCTTTATCAGTTCAAATGTTCCTGATTGCCCAACTGCAACCTTCTTGATCTTTCTTTGCCTTCTTTGCCACGTGCCTCATTTGCTTGTCACTGTCCCGTTATGAGGTGCCACAGGATGCCCACGTTAGATGAGAACCTCCATCATCTCTCCATCAGGGAACTCAGCCTTGTGGAGCAAGCTGCTTACCCGGCCCTTGTGGTCAGGCGACTTTCCGTGGCCAGGCGTGTTCTCTGCCAAACAGAAGGGAAATATCAGCAGCCATTCCTCCAGGGCGCACAGTCCTACCAACTTTCTCTAAAATGAAACCACTTTGAATACCACCAGTCAACGCTAGTGTTATGTAAGTGAGGGTGTGAGGGTACATAATCCAGCCCACAGTGGAGAAAAGCTAAATGACAGGCCCTGGGATTCAGATGGAGATGAGAGCCAGGCTGGTGAAGAGAGAGGATTACATGGGTGAAGATGGCATCTCGATGGTACGGGGAGCCCCTCATGCCCACTCCCCCTCTGCTCTCCTCAAGGCTGTCCAGCACACGCTACGATCCAGGCATTTTTCACATTCCCTGCCTTCCTGGCAAAATGCATCCCCAAAATTAAATCTCCACAGCCTGACAATGCTGTATTGGCTTGCCTGTTTCGGAAGATGAAAATAAAGAAGCCCCTTGGAGGAGTCGGTTCCTTTATGCCCACAAAGCCCCCACCTCCTCAAAAGAGTTCCTGAAGGGGACTTTCCCCACGACTAAGGTTAGTCCAAAGCCAACTTTGTTCTCACGCCCAGAAACTTCCAGACTCATTGCAAAGCTCACGCCTCCCAAGCTGTATTAAATTTATTTCTCTCTTAAATATTTTGAAGCAACTCATCGGTAACCGGCCTGACTGCTGGGCCAGAAGTTCGCCTACTTTGGGTTAAAGCTATCTCCTCCTTCCTTCAAGAGGTACTTCCAACCCCGAATCCTTGGCGAGCATTCACCTCAAAGGCAACAGCTATGTCCCTGATGCCCATGGTACCCAGGCCTGGCGCTGGCGCCCGAACGTCCTGCGGGGAACCAGTCCCCTGACGTCCCTCGGGGGGTCTACTTCCATCGCCCCCAGGGAAAGGGTTGGTCACAAAGCCTGCCAGAAGAGGGTGCGCTCCAGATGTGCAAACATCAATGGTGATGAATTAGGAGTGTCTACACACCCTTTATAGTTGACCCTTGAACAACATGGGTTTGAACTGCTCAGCTCCCCTTACATGCAGATGTTTTTCAGTAACTGTGGTATATAGTGCTATAAATGTTTATTTCTCTTCCTTATGATGTTCTTAATATTTTCATTTTTCTAATTTACTGTATTGTAAGGGTACAGTACCTAGTACACATACAAAATACGGGTTAAATCACTATTTTTTGTTATCATTGGTAAGGTTCCTTCCAGTCATTAGCAGACCATCAGTACTGAAGGTGTGAAGGAGTCAAAAGTTATTTTCAACTGCATGGGGTGCTGGTGGGGAGCCAGTGCCCCTAGCCACTGCCTTGTTCAAGGGTCGGCTGTATTCCCATAGAATAAGGAGCACACACAGCCTAATGTGAGCAGAATCGTTGGGAAAAACCCATAAGGTGGGAGCTGGTTGATACTCCTGCTGTCTCCTCCCCCAAGGGAAAGCCCCTCTCGGGCCGAAGTGCTCTTTCCCAAGTGTCAGGGAGGGGGGAACTCCGTACCCGGTTTCTCCACAGTCCCTTTGGCAGCCGGGTGCTTTAGGATGGGGCTGTTGGAGGGGGTCCCACTCAGCCGGCCGCGGCTGGGCCAGAAGAGCTCCGCGCTCCTGTCCGTCTGCGTGCTGCTGTCTCTGCTGCCTGTCTTGGCGTGTGCACTGCTGGCCGAGGCGATGGGGGCTGTGGGGGACAGCGCTGCAGCCGGGGACACGGGGAGCATGGGGGCGGGGGCGTGCTCGTGGTGCTCCTTCCCCAGCAGCAACCCTGAGGGCACAGGACAGCGTTTTCAATGCCATTCTTTAAAAAACAAAATGAAACAAAAAAACCCTAGTTGAAAATCGCTCCCTTCTTGACTGAGGAGTGCTTCATTCATGCACTGATTCAGTTACCAAACGCATTTATGAGAGCTCATTATGTGTCAGAGAATGACAAGCACTGAAGGAATTAAAAGAAGGAATGACTTAGTCCCCTCCCTAAAAATTTATATGTATATATTTTCGGAGGGGAGGAGAAGTCATCAAGTAAACTGGCTGGGCTGTGATACGATAAACAGTAGGGTAAAAGTATTCTCAGGGTGGTAAGAGAGGCCTACTCGCCAGTGCAGAGGCATGAGAGCATTCCTGGAAGGCTTCCTAGAGGGGACGCTAGCTTTACCGAATGCAGCGCAGGGGCGCTGGCCGTGAGCACTGCTGGAGAAACACTGAAGGCCTCCCTGGTCCGGGACATGGTCCCATTGGCCCACTGCTTTCCTGAGTAGTCCACAATTCCACTCCACTCTCAGTAATGGGTGGTCTACCACACGCCCAGTTTCAAAGACAAACATGCTCGGTGGTCACAGCAACTGAGTCGTGCACACTGTTCACCAAAAGAGAGAGACCCTTGGAGCAGAAAGCCAAGGCCACCGGCCCACTCCTGCCTCCCACCCGAGGGCAGAGGCCCAGGTGGGCAGAGGTGTGTTGGTGAGAGACAAGGGAGGCACGATGTGCAACACTGTTCCCTACCTTCTTCCCGCAAAGCTGGAGAGGACAGCGTTTTATTTTAAATAGTGACATATGGCACGCATTCAGAAAAGCGCCAGCACTTTCGAAATCCAGCCTATGGAAAATGTGGTAAGCACAGTCAAGTATCTGTCCATTTATCTTCGCTAGCCGGCAGCTCAGAGCGTATCCCTGCCACGGCTGTTTCAAGGTGTCCACTCACAGCACACCACAGAGCAAGTCGGCTTGTCTGCCCCAGTGGGTCTCAAAATGTAATGTGCCCATTAAGTACTTGGATTTATTGTTACAGTGAATATTTGAATCAGTGGGAGGAGCTGAGATTCTGCTTCTCCAACAAGCCCCCAGGTGATGGTGTGGTGATGCTGTAGATCAGGAACCACACCACGGCCGCCCGCCTCACACACACCTCCTCACGTGGGCTTCTGCAACACTCCTGTGAGGCAGGGCCTTTGTCTTACAGAAAACAAAGTGGAAGCTCAGAGAACTGAACATCTCACAGCTAGGAGGTAGCAGAAGGAGGATTCAAACCCAGCTATGCCTAACATTAAAGTCCGATCTGTGTGTTTTCCACCTCATCACCCTATCAGAACTCCAGTGTGACAATGATGTTCTTGCAGAATTAAGTCACTAGCCAGTCATCTTGCCTGGGAGCCCCTCAGCCATCAGAAAGGTATATGGTCTCACCTCCACCTCCTTCTACAGCCCATCAGGCAAAAGACTGTGGAAGCATTTTGGGAACTGCACAGTGGCACATGAATCTGTGCCTCTACCTGGCCCCTCAGAGAGCCCTCTCTGCCTCTGCGACATGTGGACACCAGCTACGGCGTGGAGGAATACCAGTGTGGGGAACGCACCACCCGTCTGCAGACTGGGTCTTCAGGCTCCCAGGTCTGGGTTCAGACGTGCCAAAGGCACAGGCACCAGAGAAGTGTCTGCCTGGCTGGATGTCACAAAATGACCTCTGCCAAGAAGGCTTCCATCAGAGCTCAGCCCTCAGCACGCTGCACACTTTTACCAAACCTGCCTGGCCATCACCTCCTAGGCTCTCCAACTGGGGTAGGGGGCTAAATGTCCTCGGGAGGGTCTCTGAGGATCCCAGCTGCTGTCCACACATGTCCTCTTTGAAGTACTTTTCCTTGGAGGGCAGGGACTGCTTACGTGAACCATGGAGGAACTTCAAACAGAGATTCTGGCCGGATGCCTTTGATCCGCCAGCTTTGTCAGGTCCACACTGGAAGCGCTTATCCCCTTTGGCATGAAGCAGCTGGGCCCCTCTGGGGTTCTGTGCTGAGGAAGGCTGGTTCTTAGCTCCACAGATAAACAAAACACACTCGGACCCAGGGAAATGCATCAAAGAAGGGCCGGACCCCTGAAGTGGCCAGAGTTCAGGGGAAAACTGTGGAGGACGGCTGTCTGGGAATGCTGCCCGCAGAAGCTCTGCCTGCTTGCCCTGCAGACTCAGCTAGCCCAGTCAGTGGGTCCCCGCACCCCAGAAACGCCATTCCTGGTGAAGACCACGTCTGCAGAATTCTCCGCAAAATTCTGCCTGCATGACAACAACACACCACCAGCCCCTAACACCACCAGCACTTCCCCCAAAGTGCTGGCCCCCGGTTACCTCATGCTGCTCTCACCATCACCCCACAGGATAAAGCAGGGCACACGTCACCCTGCCTCTCAGGACCCAGAAGCAGGGTGGAGCAGTCTTACAAAGGGTCAGGGGCAGAGCCAATTTCGGGGCCTGGTGTCTCTGGGCTTTTCCCATCCGAGCATTGTATGTCACAGGGGTCACCTCAGCTTTCAACCACAATGATGGTGATTATGAGTGAGTCAGTCCATGGCTAACACCTACTCTGGTGGTAGAGCCTTTGCTTCCACGCAGCCCATTTAATTTCCAGAACCAAAGGATGATTGATTATCCCACCCATTTTAGAGATGAGTAAACTGAGCCTGTGTCTCATGGGTAGAAGTGCCAGGACTCTTTCCACCAGATGAGGTTGCCTCTCAACGTTGGTGAAGCTCTTGCTTTCCAGATTCTAGCCTGAAGAAGCTGGGGCTCACCTACACTCCCCTTCCAGGTCTTCTCTTCCTTCTTCTCCTCTGCTAACTGGCTGCTGGTAAGAGAGGTCTGGCGGGAGTGTGACCCGGTGGCCGCAGCGATGGACGGGACGGAGCGGGCAGGCCGCAGGCTGGAGGAGTCCGTCTTCCCGGCATCTTTACGGGATCGCTGCTGAAGGACCTTAATCATGGCATCCTTCTCTATGATTTTGGCATGGAGATTTTTAATCCTGTGTAACAAAACAGTCATAATCAAAAGCCATGTGGCTAGAAAAACTTGAAATATTTCTCTCAGGCTGCCCCACATACTTTATATACTTCAGGGTGGAGAGTTAAGGGCAGTATAAGTCTTCAAACATTTATAATCACAAACTGATACAACTCTTGCAGGAGGTCCAAGGGGTCCCCATTCCCCAGCCCCTTGGGAGACTCTGACACTTCCTGGGAAACCCACGGGCACACAGTTAGAATGCCTGTGGCCACCAGCAGGGACCTTCCAGAGCAAGTGTATTCAGGGAGCAGCCGACGGGGCCCCGGGCTCCTCTCAGTGGGGCGGGAAGAGCAGTGGGGAGCGCTGATTCCCGGACGCCTCACACACAGGGGTCAGCGGGGAGCTTCCCGCTGAGGTCAATATCCCTATGTTCTGAGAAGCAAAACTAAAAGATGAAGAGGTTTTCTGGGAGAAGATGATTTGTCCCCCAGTGTCCAAAAATGAGAATCAGGAAACACCTGTGTTACGTTCACAGCTGGGACAGTAACCCGCCGTGCCTATCATAAAGGGAAGGGGCCAGAGCGTGAGGGGGCACATGGGGCTGGTGGGCCCACGGGGGTCTGGAGGAGAGCGGCTGGAGTGGGGCCGTGCGAACAGCCATCCCTTACGTGAACTCCATGTCCTGACACCTCCTGGCGGCCTGCACCACCTCCTCCTCCTCCTGCCACATGTGGGCCTCCAGTGAGCAGTCGCCGTAGCTGCCGTTCCTCGAGTGGTTGACGATCGTGGTATCCCTGGCAACAGCACACACACAGGAAGATGCAGGGGCTCCCTGCACTACAAGTACCTCTACACAAGCTCCTTCACCCACTCTTCTTCTCCTACATCCTGGCCAATTCTCTCCCTAAACCTGACCGAATTAAGACTGTGTCTACAAAAAACAAAATAAAATCCCAAAATAAAGTTCTCTGACCCTTCTACTAACAACATTGTGTATTAAGCTACGTGGCATGCCGTGAACGTGGACCCAGTACAGGACATCAAGACACTATTATTATTATACTGTTAGTCTAATAATATCATTGTTACTCCTGTTAGTGTTTCTCTGCTTGTATTCTTCCATACCTATCCTTGCTCACTTTCCCAATCAGCCGTTGAAGTTTTATTTCTACCTCACGCCCACAGAAAAGCTATTTCAGTATTTTACAGCTAAATGGAGACTCAGTATAGACTTAAAGTTGACACTGGTGCTCTGGGAGAGCGAGGAGCAGGCTGCAAATTTCCTTCATATTTGCATTCTAGCTCACTTCTTGTTTAGGGGCCCCTGCCTAGGATTCAGGTCTTCTCAGTGTGACAACCATGCTGGATGGCAGGGCAGAAAGACAGAGACACACACCCGGTCACTGGCAAGTCCAGCCAAGCGCAGGGTGGGACAGACATGGGTAGATTAAAGTGCAGCGTGGCTGGAAGCAGCCGTCAGATGAAAACAGCTGGTCAAAGATGACCATTCCTGCCACTGGTTTGGGCAATGTAATTACTCGTTATCGACGACGGGTAGAAACAAACTGAGCTACTACCTAAGTGATACAAGTTGGCCTTAGGCTGAAAGGCTCCATGTGTCTCAGCATGTCAATAAGAAATGATCTAGCCAAATATTGCACACCTCTTTAATTAACTTCATATTCCAATGCTACAATCATATTTTAAATCTGACAGCTCTTTTCTAGAACACTCAAAAACAGCAAAAAAGAACACTTTCTTTCACCTCTTTCTAATAACTGCTATCAGTGAGGGAGCAGTTTCTCCACGCCCGGCACCGTGGGAAGCACGTTACAGTGGTATGTCATTCAGTCCTCCAGCAACCCGGGCAGGAGCTAAAGTTATCTTCATTTTACAGATACACAAAGGGTTAGGTGACTTGGGAAGAACATCCAGTTAGTGAAGGTGGAAATGGATTCACATCCAGGTATTTATGACTCCGGTGTCCATGCCCCACAACCATTGTTCTACATTCCCAAAATTTCCTCCATCTTTATAAAGAAGGCTCAGCAGACACACATGCAGATAAGATAAACCAACAAAGTAGGCACATGTATGTGGCTTGAATACAAAGTGTGGCTGAAAATAAACCATAAAGCCCAATAACGTGAAAACAAGCAAAATGCTTTAAACATACTGATAAACTTATAAGTTATAAAATTATAAACTTGTGCATCCTTCCCATGGTGTACAAAAATCACCATACAGGAATTAACGGTGAAAGAAACATTTTCAACCAATTCATTATTGAAATCTTGCAGCACTGAGGACAAACTAAAGATTCATGTTTATACTGCCAAGTAAAGACAGCAAGCAGGCACAATTAGATGGAAACAACTAAATGGAAGGTAAACACACAAGACTTTCAGAAAAAACATGACATTGCTTTGAAACTTGTAAAAAGTCTCAAAATGATAAAATATAGACCCAATCTCAAAATTATGATCAATGGTACAAAAAAAAATGCACAAAGATGGCAAAAATTGGTGTACAGAAAAATAAAAAATCTTTATTTAAAGACCATTGACTATAAATGTGAAGTGTGTATCAGTGGCTGAAAAGCCACAAAATTAATGGCTGGAAACAGTCTTTTTTTACCATTTCATGTACAGCCATTTAGCATCTAGACAAGCACTCAGAATATTGCCCTCCCGCAGAAATTCTTCATTTTCCTTCTCTCCCTATCAACAGAAAAGCTATGCTGAGGTTAGACAGGTTCTCTTTGAAAAGAACATTAAGATGAGAGCTAAAATTCTGACCTCCTCTAAACTGATTTTTCTGGACACTGAGAGAAGCAGCGGTAAGAGGGAGGCAGCTTCCAGTGGAATTATTAGGCGCACAACAAACCCATGTGGAAGCAGAATGGTAAACGGGGGACGGCGGAAAGGACCTCAATCCTCAATCCACGGTGGAAAGAAATGTCCATCCATGCAGGCCTCCAAACAGGGTAGAGGAGAGCATCAAGGCAGCGATCCCACAGGATCCCTATTCCTTGAAGGCAAGAGATGCCCTCCCCTTGTGTAAAGGATGACCAACGAGGCTGGGCCTAGCACAGAGTGTGTGGTGCCCACCACAGAGGTCTCATGCTTCACACCTGTTCATTCCCCTACTTCTGACTTTATATCCCAGTCCTGTTCATCCTCTCAAGACCCAGGGTCCCAAACATGCCTTAATTTGATAAATCAATAGGAGCTGAGACAACAGTGACACACAAAGGCCCCGGTACCCGCTTCCAAGGTAACACGTACACACTGCTGTTTGGCACTTTAGAGTCCTCAGCTAGTGGAATACGGTCTGGCTCCCTGCTCATGACCGGCCAAGAACTGTAATTTCCACTTAGGACATGTTTTAGGTCATTTCTGAATGAAGTGAGTGATGCTAGAAAGGCTGGTACAGGCAGCAATGGAGGCGGAAGCCTTGATGGGACCCAGGCCTCCTGCCCGTCTATGTAGGGTTCTCTCCATGAAAAGTCACACGGAGGAAGGCAGTTCCTGGGGCAGCGCCCTGACAGCGGTGCACTGGACCAAATCTGGCAGAGAAGGTCAGATCCCCCCGTGACTTCACGATGGTCTGAACCCTTCCTCAGGACACAGAGGTGACTTAGTCATTGCCTCAGAAAACCAAAAGCTGAAAATAAAAATGCTTCCATTATGTAAAACTCCAGACACATTTCCAAGGGCTTCACAGTTCTCACCCGCACGGGGCAAGGGCTTAACCGGAGCCTGCAGCTTCCTCCCAGGCTCACGCCACGGCTCCGGAGCTTGGCCTATTCCCAGTCCCACTGTCTCGCTCGCATGGGATGCCCTCACAGCACAGATGCACAGAAACAACACTGGAGCACAACAAAGCCTCCACACATGGTCATTTTCTCCTGAGTCTGCAGGTCTCTCTAGGGGCCAGTGTGCCAGGGAGCCCCATGGAGGCATCTGTGCCCCAAGGAGGCTGGCACTGCCCTCTCCCCAGTTCCTGCAGCAGGCCACCAGGAATTCTTGCCTTGAGTAATGAACATGACAGCCCTCGAAGAGCTTATAAAGCGTCCTCCCTCCACCTGAGACCCCTTCTTCCTTGTTAGAGAAGAAATAACACACCCCAAAGGACTGTGGGGCTGACTCGAACTTGGGCTGCAGCCTGACTTTTCAATCCTCTCCCCAGGTCCAGACTGTCCCCTGAGAAATGGTACAAGTCTGGGTTTATGGATGCTTCTCTGGAATTCAAGGACCTCCTCCAAGTATACTGACCCTAAATGTTCATAAATTCCAAACAACTCTAAGTGCAAAGAGCAAACGAGTGGGGGAAAGGGCAGGAGGGCAGCAAGAGACTTGGTGGGTGGAAAGCATAGCCGGGCAGCCAGCACTGCCATGCCACATGCAGGAGCTCCTACCCTCCTGGGAAACTCCCTGCTCGCCCCCACCAGAGGTCAGCTTAACAGAACCTCTCTGTGAACTGCTGAGCATTTCGAGGTCATTTTTAAAGGAAAAACAAGGCCGTGCACTGGCGAACAGGAAGTGACACCACAGACATAATAACCGACTGCAGCAGAACACAACTTCAAAGCAAGTGGTACCAGGCTTTGAGGCAGACAAATCTCAGCTGGCCATGTGGTACCACCACTTAACCACCAGTGTGATTTGGACGAAACCACTGCACTTCTCTTAAGCCTTATTTCTGCAAAATAAGGATAATAACAGTTCCTAGTGTCGGGGCTGTTAGGAAGATTAACTATTCTTCTTGTCTGGCCCAAGATACATACCCCCTGTTAAAAAAAAAACAGCATAAAGGACACTCTTCACAGCATCATTCTTAATGATCACACAGCACTCTATGGTGCAGACGGAGTTTAAATTGCTGGATGAATGTGCGTGGCTGGCCCCCACCCACCTCACCTCTCCGAGGCGGCAGAGGCCGCGGCATTCATGGCGAAGTGCCGGATGGCGCTCTCCTCCAGGTACTTCTGCTCCCACTTGGTCATGTCGGCCTCCAGGGCCAGGATCCGCTCCTCCTTCTCCCTCACGAGTTCCATGAGGGCTGGGGCATTGTATTCTGGCATGCTGGCGGGCTGGCCATTTCCATGTTTCTGAGGAAGCACGAGAAAACAGCATCTTGTTGCAGAAAAGCCCTACGGCATAGACCGTACAAACTATGTGTGCGTGATTCCCCGCATGGAGCACACAGGGCGACACGCGCAGGCTCATGCGTCTGTACCCTCTGCGTATGTATAACCCGCACCCAGTGGGCCCTAACACCAGGTGACCTCGGCTCTCATTTAACTCCCACGGAACTCTACAGAACAGACACTGTCATCCCAGTTTTACAGGTGAGCAAACTAGGCTTCTGAGAGGTTAAGTGAGCTGCTCAGTGCCTCTCAGTTTATCAGCAGTGGGGTCAAACCTGGGTCTGTGTGACCATATGGCTGTGCATGACCAGAAGTGGCTTGTCCAATGTCCTGCACTTAATTTATAACAACATCAAGAGCAGGAATCAAGCCTTAGACTCCTGGTCTAGGGCACTTTCTCCGGAGTTCAAGGACATGAACCCAGCTGTTCATTCCTCTGAGGCTAGGAGCTAACGTAAAGTGAAGGAGGTGTGCCTGAGATGCCTTGACATTCTTGTTCAACTGCCAGAATGCTCATCTGGAAATTCCTGCTCCATGGAGGGGCCTCAGAATCAACTAAGACAATGCACACGAAAGCATCTGATAAACCCTAAAGGGCTAAACGAAGTCAAGTGCCACCAGTAAACCTCTAACGCACGTCCAGCATCTTTTTCTGCCCTTTCTTTTCATCTGTGGGTTGCACCCCCCTCAGGCTCCCCAGCGATCACAAATTGTGAATGTACAGCTGGTTGTAAGATGAGAGATACCAGAACACTTTCCCCTGAACCATGTAAATGACCTAGAGCTGGGCACCTGAGCCGTACTGATGGACTCCCATCCTACCAGAGGGGAGAGAACAAATGGGCCCCTGGGCTTTTGTAACCATGTTTCTATTCAATTATTTAAAGCTACAAACACAGATTAATTGAGGGTCTAGTGGTAGCTTGTCAGTAACCAACACTGAAGCTAGAACAGAGTGGAAGGCACATAACTGTCCTCATAGACCTGTACCAGCCAGGATGACAGATGAACCAGTCCACGAGATGACAGGCAACCCTGTTGTTAGGAACTTTTCAAGAAGATCTCACAGCCTCACTATGCTGTCATCTATACTTGTCAGTTTCTGTCTAAACCCCTGTGCTAGCTACCTCAGCAGCTGGCTTAATTTTGCAGAATCCTCTTGACCTCACATGAGATCATGACAGCTCTTCGCAGGGCCCCTAATTCAGGTCGTTAAGAGTTATTTAAATGAATGCATGAATTTAATAGCCAAGAATACAGCATACCAGCAGGTTAGTGTGCTGGCTAGAAGAGGGTCAGGCAGGCCAGCTTCTGTTGTTCACTCAACTGTCCATCAAGTATTTACTGAGCACATACTATGTGCTGGGGATACCACATGAACAACACAGATAAATTCTGTGTCCTCAATGTGTTCACCTGGGAGGAAGGTCCCAATTAGCTCGTGACCTGGGGCTGGTCTCTTTACTGCCCGATGCCTCACTTTCCTTCTCCAGGACACACCCCGATCCCCCTTCTGCCTCAGAGGACTAATGCAGAATAAGATGTGAAAATTACTTTGAGCTCTTTGCAAGAAAGATGAATTGTGAGTTCTTACAAATGTTAATTCCCTCCCTCGTACCTTTATTTCTTTCACTCTCTGCTTCTCGTGATGTTAAGTACAACTTCACATCCCAAGGTAGAGAGAGAATGCACAACACAGTCCTGTTCCTCAACAGCTGCTCCTTCCTGCTAGCCCTGGTATCCTGACCCATCTTCCCCCTCCCCGGCTCCCACAGTGGGACTAGAAAAGTAGAGCAGAGGAGGAATTGGGAGAGGGACCACAGATGCCCTAAGCCGCCAAACGGCTCTGAAGGCAAGGACGGTAATAAGATCGGCAATGATAGTTATCGTTTCTGAGCCAGCTGCTAAGTGCCAGGCACAGGATAGAGCACCGTGTGTGGTTTTCATACTTGTACAAGTGTATTTATGACTCTCAGGTAAGTGTAATTTATTTGCCCCACTTTATAGACAAGGAAGTTGAGGCTCAGAAAGCTTACTTACCCAAGGGTACTTTCCTAGTAGGAGGAGGAGGCAGGGTTCAACCACAGTTGGTCATGATAACCCTGGAGCCCTAACTGAGGCTCACCTCCAGCCCTCCCACCCATCTGGAAGGTTCCAGGTTATCTTGCAGGAATACCTGGAGCTCACCTGGGGGCTCTGTGTTGTCGTTAGGGGGCCAAGTGGAGAGGCTTAGCTGTGTCCTGGCCTCAGTCTAAGGGCAGAGCCCTCGCGTGGGGTGTTGCCCCAGTGAGTGCTCTAAGCTGCTCTCTCAAAGGTCGTTGCAGAGCAATTCCCTTAAGAAGAGGTGGGGCACCGCGGCCTCACTGCTTTGCGGAGGGGGGAGATGACCAGGGGCTTGGTTACAGCGTGACCTCAGTGTGCTTTCTAAAAGGGAGCAGATGAATGCCTTGGTGGGGCAGCAGGGCAGGAGCAAGGTGTGGTGTGTGTTGCCCACTGCCGGGACAGCGCAGATGTGAGCAGCCTGAGAGCGAATGAGGAGGAAGGTGATCAGAGAGGCCGCTGCGTACCCTTCCTGGAACGGCCAAGCTTCTTAGGTGACCCTACGCTCTAGAGCGGCCATGAGGGGATTCTGCTCATCCCCGCCGGGGACCATCAGGGCTGCGCAGGCCACACTGCTCTGGGGCTCCAGGCATGGGTTTGACCAAACTTTACAGTATCTGTCACATGGAACTAGTTAGAAAACTGAGTTTTTTGGTGGATTTATTTGTAATAACACTGTTACCTTTTCTAGTTATAGAATAATATATGCTCACTGGTAACATTAGAAAATAAAGATGTATTAGAGGAAAAAATGAAAAATAATACTCATTTTTTTAATGAGTGGGCAAAAACAACAAATCCCTGAGTGTCTTTCCCAGCACAGAAGACACATTCATACTGTCATTTAAGGAAAAGCTAATATTATTTTCAAAGAGATGCTGAGCATCAAAGTTCTGTTTAATGCTAGAGACTGTCTCCCCTCACTAGGGTCTCATGTCAGCCACAAGCAGCTGGCGATCTGTGACCAGCTCCCAAAGACAAGTCCAAATAGAAGCCGAGTGATTTCCTTGGAGAGTCACAATTCTGAAACCTGGGGCATCAGACTACTTTCCACGTAATTCTGACTCCACATTTCTTATTGCTATACAAGGATAATGGAGTTGAGTATTGGCACTTAAAACAGAAGATCCAAGGAGACATAATCTAACTGTAGGGTGTGGGTGGCACATTAACTAGAAAAGAACATTCTTTTTTGCTTTACTGAGTATTGAGATGTGCCCGTTTTGTCAGCCAATGATCCTCAGCATACGCCAGGCGCCAGCGCGGAACCAGGCCCAGGGAGCCCAAGAGATCTCAACCACAGATGGCCTGCAGGGTGGACCTCACGTGGCAGGGAATGCACCACAGGCAGGAGGAGGAGAAGACCAGAGGCAGACTCCCCCTTGCTTACGAGCTAGCAGCTAAGCCGAGATGGGGCTGGGTGGGGGGAGTTCCTTAATTTTCTGGGCAATCTCACCAACACCTCTTTCCCCTGCCAAGTATACACACCCAGAGGTAACTACGCCTGCCATGAGAAAGGGCCAAGCTGGCCTGAGCACACACTTTCAAGTGTTTTCAAGTATTTCAACCACAAGCACTATGCCCCGTCCAGTAGATAATTCCACGGGGCCCAGTCCTGGGTCTTCCTAACTGAGAGCACAGCCTCTGCCAGCTGCACAGAGAGCTCCACCTACCACCCTGGCTGAGACGCGTGAGGCCAGGCTCTCCCGGGACCCGGGAGCCTCTGACCAGCCTGTGATGGTGCCCCACACGGCTGCAGAGCTGTCCCAGGGCTGCTGCCCAGCTGAACTACACAGGGCCCTGGGGATGGCGTATTCCACTCTGACCTTACTAACAGCTGATTACATTAATAGCCATTATCGGGAAGGAGGAAGAAGGGCAGACGAGAGGAGCTTATGGCGAATAGTATATCCCAGGGATAGTCCTGAACAACTTCCTCCTTTCCCTCCAAAAAGTCGCTGATGATCATATCCAATCATCTCACCTGTGGATTCCCACTGTCACTACACACTTCACCATCCACCCCTCCAAACCCTCCTGACACCAGCAGAGGGCTCTTTCGCACATCTTTGCACCATATTCCTCTCTAGCTTAAAACCCTCCCGGTTGTGGGCACACTACTGCTCACAGGAAAAAGTCCAATCTCTCAATCTGATCAAACACCTCTGCAAACTGGCCTTTGCCTCCTCACCAGCAGGCATTCCCCCCCATGAGCTGCACCCCGCCATGCTGTTGCCCACCGCTCTCTGGTATGCACGCTCTTTATCTACCCTGATGTACTTCCCCCACAAGACCTAACCAACTTTTCTTTCAAAGTCCAGCTCAGATGTCCTCTACGGAGCCATCTAAAGCCTCATCCCCCTGCCCAGCCCTCCGTCACCACCGTCTGGCTTCGGCGCATTTGCCTCTGCAGAGAGTGGACCGCCTGGCTCCTCCTTTGGCCTCTGTGCTGGTTCACTGAAGACAGGGAGCTCTCGCTGGACTCTGCCTCCTCCCTGCAGTGCAGAGCCTGGCCCCTGGATGGTGCTCTGCTGCACGATGTTCACTGAACCCACATGGGGAACTCTGCTGTGGGCCCCGCCCTGGCCCCTCACCTGCTGGGTTCTCAGGGCATCCAGCTCCCTCTCCAACCAGGTCCGCAGCCTCCGCTCCATCTGCTCTCGCTTCTCACACGCAGACTGAAGCTGGGTCAGGGCCTGCTGCAGCTTCTCAACTTTCTCGACATATGCTTGCTTCTCTCTTAGCTGAGCAGAGAGAAAAGGAGCACAACATTTAGACCAGTGATTCCCAAAGCTGGAGTGGAGATGGAGGCTCAGATTACCTGGAGATCCTAAACTACAAGTCCACAGACCTTCCCTAATCTTACCCTCAGGTGTGTTAGGACAGAAAAGATTTAGAAAAAAGCCACCAGTTACACCCCAAATAAGTGCAATGCTGGAAGACCCTACCTGGGGACCTGTTCAGTACTTTGTACAGCTCTGAGCTCAACCGTGGATTACTGTTTAATAAGTATAGCATTTGGATGGGTGCATGGGAAATAAGTTTTAATTTTAAAGAGCTTTTAGGGTCATAAGGAAAAGCTATGTTAACTAAAAAGTCCAGACTGAAAAATTATATACATTATCACAATTCTACCTATTTCATATGCATGAAAAAAATATTGGAAGGAAATACTTCAAAGCATTAACCATATTTACCTGTATAGCAGACATCAGTGTCTCTTCTTTATTCATTTCAAAGTTTTTTCTAGTAACTGTGAATTAGTATTACAATATGGAAATTGTGTATGTATGTATGTATGCATGGGACCCCTTTGTGCATGTGTGAAAAAAATATAAAACATTTTTATAGATATTTGTGGAGTAACTTTCTCCTAAAGATTTCAGAGCTCTTTATAGATGAGTAGATGACAGCCCTGAGGATACAGAAAGCATATAATGAACTCTCAAACAGCACAATAAATAAGACGGAAATTAGGGTAAAAATGATTTATGTAAATATCACATTGGGTGTGGATTTAGAATCATAATTAAAAACTTCAAACTCTTATTCTCGACTTTATTTTCTTCCAACCAGGAATTTGGCCCATGTTCATAATCCCAGGCACATTTCTAACTTTTTGGAAATCAGCTGGTGCCAAAAATCAGGCTGAGCCATTTACTTCATCTGGTCCTGGGTGAGAAGACACCAGGTGCTACTTCCTGTCTGCACCTGTGTTTGCAGATGCCTTGCAGGTGATTCAGATCCTGAGTTCAACCCATGACTGAAGACAAGTTGGAACATGCTAGTGATTTAAGAGCTTGGGACAAAAAGCGGTTTCTGACTGAGCCAGCAGCATTGCCATGAGCTATGCCTACACCTCAGTCCAAGCCACTGGAATAAAACGGGGTTGCTTCTGATCTTTGGGTGGGGGGAAAAGGATGGACAGCAACTTTACAGTCTTTTCTGCACCTGCCCTTGGTGTCAGTTTTCATCCATCCCTTTCATTAATTGTGCTTTCAATCGCTCAATTCTATAGACCCTTAGGATCTACTAACTGCAGATTCCTATGCCAGAAGCCTCATCTGATCAAATAATTTGTGAGTACTATTCATACACCACTTACTACATCTTATACTGTATATGGCTTCCTGAGTGTGTAGTCACTGGAATGTAAGAGCTATAAAATTTATCTGTGTTGGTCCCTACTGGGCAGAGTTCCCAGTGTGTCCTCAATGCCTGGAACAGTACCTGGTACCCAGTAGGTACTTAATAAACATTTGTTAAATCAATGACTATTATCACTAATCAACTGCAAGACCCTTGACAACATAGATCTCTCTTGCTCACCTTTGCATGAGCCTGTAAGTCTAGCATCGACTGTGTCATAACGAGGATGATTAACAAAAAGAGTAATTTCTTTTCTGAGGCAACATTTTTGAGGCACTACCATACCAAGTATTGTGAATTCTGTGTGTAGTAGCTCATTTAATCCTTCCACCAACAGTAAGAGGTGAACTCCTTTATTATCTCCATTTAAGAGATGAGAAGACTGGACTGAAGCACTTAAATGACTTGTTTAAGGTCACACAGGAGATACGTCCTGGGTCAAGACTTTAGTTCACACCGTCTGGCTCTAGAGTCTAGGCTCTTAATGGTTGTGGGAAGCTATGGGAAACCTGAGGTCACTCTGAGCCATCTGAACTGAAGATCCTTGAAAAAGATACTTCAGAACAAGGAATGATCCTGGAACTATTTGGGAGGCTGCACACAAACAAAGAAAGATCTTATATAATGACCAGAAAGGATCGGTAATAGTGATTGTAAAGAACCTGTTTTCTAGGAGCTCACAACTTCTACTTTATTAAAAATATTAAAAGATGTTGAAAATGATCATTTTCCTTCACTCCACACACAGAGATGGGAGCCTCAATATGTGATGTCAGTCATAACCATAAGAAGGAGTCCTGGCCTCTGTTCTTCAAAGCAGCCCTCCTGTCCTTCAGGGATTAACGTCACCCTCTGTGGCCAGTGTTTCCCTATTTAATGAGTTCCTCAATGGTGACAAGGAAGATACTCCAGGCTGTTGCTTGGGATCCTGGTGCTAGTGTTAAAATGATAGTTTCTATATGGCCTTGCAGGTTCTAAAATGCTTCTAAGGGACACAATCCCAGCTGACTTAACAGTCTTTCCCATTAGCTGCCTTAATCTTGAAGTTGAGGCTTGCTGAGACACCCAGGTTACCTGGTATCAGAAGATGTTTTCTAAAGGGATAGCTTTTTATTTTCAAACAGCAGTTGGGTTAATAACAATACTGCTTTCTGTGTGCCAAGCACCAAGCTAAACACTTTGTGTAGAATGCCTCAGTTATGCCTCTTCCAGCTTTGACTTCAAGCTTCTGCTCTCCACAATGGCTCTGCTCCGGTCGGTCCCCCAGCACGGAGATGCCTGCTGCCCTGGGGAGCTGGAAGGTATGACAAAGCAGGATCTGTCCACCCGCTAGACCCTGAATCTACAGCATGAACTCCTTAGCTTGGACCCCTGAAGTGGTGGTTCTAATCCAGTCAGGCTAAAAGGAAAAGTCAACCTCGCAAAACTTAATCTAAAGGGTGGATTTCGTCAGAAACCACTAAATCCGTAACACTTGAGCAGGATAACAATTTCCTGGATTGGAATTTGGTTTCCTGGAAACTAAAGCCCGTTTCTGGAAATTGGAGACAGGTTTGCTGAATGCTACCCACACCCACCCCATCAAAAGATTTTTGCATTTTTTCATGCAACCAAGAGTCCAAAGGCAGAGCAATTGAACTATCTTTTATAAATTGTTAGTCTCTTTTCTCTACAGGCACCAGTGGTTTCTAGTCTTTACATTTATTTTCAGCCCTGGACACTTGCCCACCAACAGGCTGGAGGCTGGCTTTTAGGCTGCGACTGAGCTCTTTCATGTAGGCCTTTCATACTGGGCCCGGCTCTGGGTGGGCCGAACTCTGTTCCTATTAATTTTTATTTGGGAGGCCTCCTACATCCCTTCCTGTGAGTCGACACCTAGGTGTTGACTCTGATTGAAGTTGCTGGGTTAGGAAAAGGAAACAGAAGCCCTCGGGGCTCCGCCACCACCCCCGTGCCTCACCTCCTCTTCCAGCTTGATGACCCTGGCCTGGGCGTTGCTCAGAGCCTGGTCCAGGATCTCAATGTGTCTCCGGTGGTCCTCGCTCGCAGTCCGCACTGCCGCTAACTCCATTTCTAACTTCTCCTTTTCCTTCAAGAATTCTTTGTCTAGAAGGGAGACAAGAACAAAACTCCCTCTATCAGAAAGTGCTCACCCTCTGGGCTCTCTGCCAGCCTACATCTGGCAAGGATTAAAAATAAAAAAGCATGCGAAGAGTAGAGGGTTGAATTACTGCCCTTGCTCTGTCTTAATACTGGTGGGAGGTTGAGGTGAGGATTTTCTCAAAAACCGCTGTTCACTCTAGAGACATTCCAGGCCACGGTTCCAGAGACAAACGGAATACAAAACATGAGTGACTCCATATTCTCTCTAACTCACTTCTGTACATTTACTTTACTGCTTCCAAGTAACCTTGTGCCTATGATTTCTTTTTATGCCCACAATCTCCCCCTGCTTCCACCTTTCAAACCAGTGAGGAAAGGGTGGGCATACTAGTAATAATACTAATGTTCCCACTCACAGAAAAATAAGCCATGGTCCAGAGGCTTAAGCTCTTTGTCTGAGACCAGACAACAGAGGGAGGCTTCAACTCAAGCCTCCCGTCTCTGGCTGGATCCTCTTCCCAGAAGACCCATGTGAGAACATAATGGCCCCACATTTTCTCCTAGTTCTGTTCAACAGGAGAAAGGGACACTGCTTCCCTCTCATTCAATGACAATGTAACTGATGGCAATCACGGTCTCTTTGCGCACGGAGAGCCCTGCCCTCAGTCGCTTCCACCCGGCCATCCCGTAGACCTATCCAGCATTTTAGTGGAAGCAGGCAAAGCCAATAGTGTCATGGGATCAGTATCATTTATTGAAAACATTTTTCCTGTTACAAAAGCAACACATTTTATTTTTAAAATAAATTAGAATGTCTGGTTATATTGTTTACAGTACGAAAAAAACTTGAATGTAAGATTAAGGGATTGGCTAAATATACTACTGTAAACCCTGCAACAGAATAAGATGAAGCCATTAAAATTAAATAAGAGAATATTAATGATGTGGAAAAATATATTCATTATTGAAAAAAGGTAGTTACAAAACACTATGCACACTATTCCGTATTTGCAGAAAATAAGGCGTATAATTATGACAACATCAGCACCCAGATTAGTGAGAAATTGATTTCTATGTGTGCGTACCATTCAAGTGCTTCAGACCTGTTAATCTTGACCCTCCTAACAACCCACACTGAAAACAGAGAAAAGGTCTGGAAGCTACATCTATGTATGACAGTGGCTTCATTCATTCATGATTGCCCAGAATAGTCATTCATCGATTTAGCAAACAGTTGGCAAACATTAAGGACCAGCCCTATATATGGGCACTGAAGCAGTATTAAGAATGCTGCACTGAAGGGGCAAATAATGTGGTTTTATATACAAGGCATAAGAATAAAAAGACACCTGAAGGCTGCACATGCCTGCTAAGAAATCCCTCGCAGGGAACACAGCATATGTCATCATCTAGTCCCACCCCCTCTGCTTTATGGGTAAGGAGAGGACAGCCAGGAGCAAGGCACTTGTCCAAGGCCCTGCAGCCAGCTGGGGCGGAGCCAGGGCCAGAATCCGGGTCTCCTGATGTCCCACTATGATCTCCTTCCTGCTTGACTGCACTGCCCTTGCCCTGGGAGGTTATGTCAGTGGGATCAGAGTGCGGTGAAACAGCTTCAGGACTGACAGACTGAGTAAACTTGCAAAGCTACATAGGGTCTGAACTACCTAGAAACAATGGCATGGCCTGGAAACAAACTGAGACCACCAGGATCCTAACCCAAACAGAGAATTACTTAGGGCTCCTAATGCCCCAACACAATGATCAACTGCCCTCCCCCCTTCTTTCTTTCAGCAGCATTTGAAATGCTGCCTCTCAAACTGCCTTCCCAATCCTCAAAGAATGGCCATGCAAAAGGCCTAAACAAATGGGTCAGTCCACAGCCCTAAATGGACCAGAACATTTCACTCTTTCTGTGCAAAGTCACTGACATTTGAGCTCCCTGAGTTTGGACAATACCTCAACAGGCCGGTGCCCACTAGCCTTGTCCCTTTTCTGGAGGGCACCCAGGAGTTACTCAGCCAGCATGCTGGGAATGAACCACTGGGTTTCAGAGCTTCTCCCTGCCTATCATAAACTTTCTCTCTGTTGAGGGCAGCCGAGGACATCGATTTTGACCAGAAGCACTAAAGCAATAGCCTAAACTCAAGATTAGAGGCCACAACCACAGTTTCTTGAGTTGCAAATCATTGACCACAATTTATTTCTCTATCACAAGGACAACCATTTAGATTTCTGCATTAACAAAAACCCTGCCTCTCCAACACACACACACAATTCCAGCTTTTGCTATTTTCTTGATAGTATCACATTGTAACTATAAAGAATGAACTTCAGCATCAGAAAGAAGTGGGTTCAAATCCTAGGTTCACCACTTTCCAGCTATGAGCTGGTCAAATGCATCTTGTGTGTGGTACCTAACCTCTTGAGCCTCATCTGTTAAGTGGGCATGATAACATCTACGTCACAGTGTTGTGATGACTCTGTTGGCAGAGAGGGTGCACATAAAGCATAAAAGGATCGGAATATCTAGGATTGTATCTGTTTTGATCATTTCTGATTTCCTGAGCCTAGAACAGTGCCTGGCTCAATTAATATTATTGAATGAATAATACAGCTGTCTGCTATATCTTTGAAGCCACCACTCATCAGATGGCTGGTCCTGGCCATGGACATCCCCAGTTCCCTTCTCTGCTGGGGCTCCAGGAACCTCGTACCACAGAACAAAGGTGTGGGTATTGGATGAAGACTCCATCAGCCTTGGAATGCTTTGCAGGCCTCTGAAATTCATGGGTTGAAACATCTTTGTTATGGGTTTGGTGGCCTCAGACCTCAGGCTGCAGCAGTCAGTACCACTCACACCAGCTCACAGCTCCCCATCCACTGGCAGGAAGTATTACGCTTGATGATGAAAGTTTAAAAACGATATTCATGATGGTAGTGCTAATAACAAAACCTGCTCCTGTTTGTTGAATGAGTACTGTGGTCCAGGAATGGTGACTTACATTACACTCTTTAATTATTCCCTTTATATTATTTCCTTATTATAAATCTACTGTATGATAGGCGCCATTTGTACTTCCATTTTTCAGTCGAGGAAAACTGACACTTGGAAGAGATAAGTCACATGCCCACAGAAGTGGTATTCATCACTGGTAGAGCCAGAACTTCCATGTGCATGTCTCCATGCGAGCAGGTCGCTGTGTGCCTCCCCTGTGCAAGCGTGCAGAGGCAGAGAACTGCAAAGCAGAAGGAGAAAGTGCAGAAGTGCTGCATGTAACATAGCTCATTACTGCACAGATTTATGTCAGAGGCTACATAGTTCTCAAAACACAGCCATTACATCCACATATGTATCCATTTTGCAGATATTAATTAATTAAACATCAACTACATGGAGGCATCACAGAGCATTGTTGAAAGCATGGCTCTGGAATCAAACTACTTGGGTTCTTGCCCAACTCTACTACTCTTGGTTTGGTGACTTTGGAAGTAAAGCAACCTCTTTGTGCTTCAGTTTCCTAGCC